CCTTCAAAAAAGTTTCCATAACCTTTGCAAAGGTTAAAGGGCCCTAACACTGGCAAAGCAAGCTTGCCTAGGTTAAAATTTTAACATTCTTTGAAGCTTTACCACTCATATTAGTAAGTTCTAGATCTGGTTCTCAGCATTCTCTGTGCTCCAAGTGCATGAGATGTGAGTCCCTTTATATGATACCTTGATAGCATTCACACTTACCTTTTTTTTTTTTCTGATTACTCACTTTAAGTCTTCCTTTAACTGAGCTTAGAAAGAACCACTAATTCCACTCTCCTTAGAGTGTTTATCTCCTCTCCCCCATATTTCTCAAATGTCCTGGTGGCACAATGGTTAAGTGTTCCTTTGCTACCAAAAAGTTGGTGCTGTGAATCCACCCAGTTGTTCCATGGGAAAAATACACAGTGATCTGCTTCCATAAAGATTGTAGCCTGGGAAAACCTATGGGGGAAGCTCTACTCTGTCACATAGGGTCACTGTGAGTCAATCAGCTTAAAAGCAACTAACAGCAACAACAACAGTGCATTCCTCTCTACTGGTTCACCATCCTACTTCACCACTTGTGATCATGCTGTAAATTTGTGCCCGGGTATTTTTTTCTCCACTACCACCAGTAATAGGGTTCTCATTGCCCACTGGGCAGCAGGTGATTCAGACCCCAAATCCCCTCTTAAAGTCTGCTTTCTTGGGTCATTCTCCCTCTCTGCTGTCACAGGTTTAGTTCCCTGGGAAACAGACTCTTGGATGGAAATGAGCTTGCAGAGGGGTTATTGTGGAATGTGCCCAGGCTTAATACCTATGGAAGAGAATGAAAGACAGCAAGATTGGGCAGAAGGAGAAATGCTAAGTGATATAATCTCATTGAATTATTTGACTGTGTCTATTGGGAATTGTAGGTTTTCCTAGGAGGCACAATTTGTTAAGCACTCTACTACTAACAGAAAGGTTAGCGTTTTGAAACTACCCAGAGGCACCTTGGAAAAAAAGCCTGGTGATCTGCTTCTGAAACTTCACAGCCTTGAAAATATTCTAGAGCACAATTCTACTTTGCAATAGATGGGGTCACATGACTTGACAGCAGCTGGCTTTTGGTATATTTGGAATTTTGGTGCTGGGATTTTCTTTCAGAGTTGCCCCATGTTGGGACAAGGTGGAAGAGCCTTTGTACCCCTATGTCACCCATCATTGGCTATTTAGCTAGGGAGTGTTACTTTAGGTGAGGCAATGAGTGCAGATTGCATGTAATTTTGCCATATGGAGGTTTATGTCATTTTTATTCAATTTATTACTATTTTAAGTTATGAATGCTATTATAAATGGTATCTTAGTCATCTAGTGCTGCTATAACAGAAATACCACAAGCTGATGGCTTTAACAGAGAGAAATTTATTTTCCCACAGTCTAGTAGGCTAGAAGTCCAAATTCAGGGCATCAGCTCCAGGGGAAGGCTTTCTCTCTCTGTCAGCTCTGGAGAAAGGTCCTTCTCATCAATATTCCCCTGGGCTAGGAGCTTCTCCATGCAGGAATCCAAGGTCCAAAGAATGTGCTTTGCTCCTGGGACTGCTTTTTTTGTGGTGTAAGGTCTCCCCCTCTCTGCTTGCTTCCCTTCCCTTTTATCTCTTGTAAGATAAAAGGTGGTGCAAGCCACACCTCAGGAAAACTCCCTCTACATTGGATCAGGGATGTGACCTGAGCAAGGATGTTACATCCCACCCTAATTCTCTTTAGCCACAGGCAGAGATTATGATTTATAATACATAGGAAAATCACAAAATAGAGGACAACCACACAATACTGGGAATCATGGCCTAACCAAGTTGACACATATTTTGGAGGGACGCAATTCAATCCATGACAAATGGTACTTTTTTTAAATTTTACTTCCTCTTTTCTGCTAATATATAGAAATAAGAATGATTTTTGCATGGAGCTTTTATCTTATGATCTTGATAAATGAGTTTATTTATTCTAATAGTTCATAGATTCTATTAGACTTTTTATGTACACAATTATAACATTTACAAATAAAAATACCCTATTTCTGTTTTTCCCATTTTTATATTTTTATTTCTTTTTCTTGCCTTATTCCACTTGCTAGAACTTTCACTAGACAATGGAGGTGGTTAAATAAAAGAATTGATAAAGACCATCTTTATCTAGTCCAGAACTAAAAAGAAAAACAATCACTATTTTACCAAAAGTTGTATGATGTTAACCAAAAGTTGTATGATGTTAGCTCTAGGGATTTTGCTGATGTTTTTCTTGGTTTTTGTTTGTTTGTTTTTAAGGTCAATGCACTGGTGGCACAGTGGTTAAGAGCTCGGCTGCTAATCAAAATGTCCAACACTTCAAATCCACCAGACACTCCTTGAAAACCCCATGGGGCAGATCTACTCTGTCCTACAGGTCGCTATGAGTTGGAATTGACTCAACAGCCAGAGTTTTGGGTTTTTTGGTTACTCTTTATTAGATTAGGGAAATGTTCTGCTTCTAGTTTTCTGAAAGGTTATATTATGATCTGTTGTTGAACTTCATCAGATTCTTGCACATCCATTGAAATGATCTTCTTTGTTTGTTTTCTCTCTTCCACTTTTTCTTTCTAACAAAATATTAAGTTAAGAACAAAGTGGGAGGCCTCACACTATCTGATTTTAGAACTTATTATACCACCATGGTAGTCAAACCAGCCTGTTACTGGTACAAAAATAGACACGTAGACCGATGGAAGAGAATTGAAAACCCAGTCATAAATCCATCCACCTCCTAGCAGCTGATATTTGACAAAGGCCCAAAGTCAGTTAACTGGGGGAAAGACAGTCTCTTTAACAAACGGTGCTGGCATAACTGGATATCCATCTTGAAAAACATCAAGCAGGACCCATACCTCACACCATATACAAAAACTAACTCAAAATGGATCAAAGACCTAAATATAAAGAGCATGGAAGAAAAAATAGGGACAATGCTAGTGGCTCTAATACATAGCATAAATGGTATAAAACCATAACTAACAATGACCAGAAGAGAAACTAGATAACTGGGACCTCCTAAAAATCAAAAACTTATGCTTATCAAAGACTTCACCAAAAGAGTAAAAAGACAACCCACAGAATGGGAAAAAATTTTTGGCTATGACATATCTGATAAAGGTCTAATCTCTAAAATCTACAAGATACTGAAACACCTCAACAATAAAAAGACAAATAATCCAATTTAAAAAAAGCAAAGGATATGAACAGACACTTCACCAAAGAATACAGATACATGAGGAAATGCTCATGATCATTAGCCATTAGAGAAATGCAAATCAAAACTACAATGAGATATCATCTCACTCCAACAAGGCTAGCATTAATCCAAAAAACACAAAATAACAAATGTTGGAGAGGTTGTGTGGAGATTGGAACTTTTATGCGCTGTTGGTGGGAATGAAAAATAGTACAACCACTTTGGAAAACAATATGGCACTTCCTATCATAGGAATAGACATTTGCACACCCATGTTCATTAGAGCATTGTTCATAGTAGCAAAAAGATGAAAACAACCCAAATGTCCATCAACAGATGAATGGATAAACAAATCAAGGTACATACACACAATGATACACTATGCAATGATAAAGAACAATGATGAATCCAAAACATCTCACAACATGGATGAATCTGGAGGGCATTATACTGAGTGAAATAAGTCAGTCACAAAAGGACAAATATTGTATAAGATCACTACTATAAAAGCTCAAGAAAAGGTTTAAACACAGAAAAAAAGCATTCTTTGATGGTCACTAACTAGATAGTAGACGAGGGTCAACTTTGGTGAAGGGAAGGACAACACGCAATACAGGGGAAGTCAGCACAACTGAACCAATGCAAAAGCATAGAAGTTTCCTAGACACATCTAAATACTTTGAGGGACAGAGCAGCTGGGGCTGGGACCTGAGGAACGTAGTTTTGAGGGACATCTAGGTCAACTGGCATAACAGTTCATAAATAAAATGTTCTACATCCAACTTTGGTGAGTAGCGTCTGGGGTCTTAAAAGCTTTCGAGTGGCCATCAGAGATACATCTATTAGTCCCATTCCACTTAGAGAAAAGGAGAATGAAGAAAACCAAAGACACAAGGAAAATACTAGCCTAAGAGACTAAAGGACCAAATGAACCAGAGACTCCACCAGCCTGAGACCAGAAGAACTAAATGATGCCTGGCTACCACCAATGACTGCCCTGACAGGGAACACAACAGAGAGTCCCAGAGAGAGCAGGAGAAAAAGGTAGAACAGAATTCAAATTCACGTAAAAAGACCAGACTTAACGGTCTGACGGAGATTGGAGGAACCCCTGAAACTATGGCCCCCAGACACTCTGTTAACCCAGAACTGAAACCATTCCCAAAGCCCAGTCTTCAGTCAAAGATTAGACAAGACTATAAAACAAAAAATAATACAGGTGAGGAACGTGTTTCTTAGTTCAATCAGATATACGAGATCAAACGGGCAGCTCCTATCCAAAAGCAGGATGAGAAGGCAGGAAGACACCGAAATTGGTCGAATAGACACAGGGAACCTGGGATGGAGAGGCGGAGTGTGCTGTCACATTGTGGAGATTGCAACCAATGTAACAAAACATTATGAGTATAAATTTTTGAATGAGAAATTAACTTGAGCTGTATACTTTCACCTAACACACAATTTAAATAAATAAATTAACCTGGTATTTCTGTAAACCCCAATTGGTCATGATATTTTATTTTTTTATATATCCTTGGATTTAATTTTCTGATTTTCTATAAAGTGATAATATTGTTTATTTTATGAAAAGCAGGGGAAGAAATCTGGTTTATATTCCTGTCTTCTCACTATAAAATACTGTATTTATGCTCATCGGTCTCTGCAGCATAAGTTATAAATTTAGGACCCTTTCATTCAGCAAATGAAGAGAAAGAAGAAAGTTTGAAGATGTAAATATTAAGAAAAAGGCAGAAATTTAATCTTACATCTTTATTCCATTTGTATAGAGCAGGGGATAACTGCTCTCTGATGATGCTTTCAAATACAGGATATTAGCTGAGGCAAAAAAAATTGCACTAACTATCCTCTTCCCTCTGGAATTTTAATCTTTAGTATACTTTCAATCTTCACTGCTTCAGCCAATTTCTCACACACAAATTTTCTTGTCATAGAACAGTAATAATAATGAAAATATGTTATCTGTACATAGCCACAAAATTTCTTATTATTTAAGTGGTCCATATTTCCTGTAAACCTGAAAGAGAAAATGAAGAATTACACTTGGCAAATCAAACATCTGAAACACATTCACACAAAAAATATTGCTCCAACATGACATTATTGCTCCGAAGGTCTGAATTGTCTACAATAAATTTAAATTAGCGTTCAGAGTATCAACGTGTCCAAGTTACTTGTTTTAATCGATGATTATATAATGTCAAACACAATTTATTTCCTTTATTTTCTCCATTTTCTGACATCTGGATAATTTGCTACCCCAAATTTCAGGATTGGCTCACCCACCCCCTTACGTAATAACGATTTAGAATAGCATTACTGCATACGATTCTCCAAATGATATTTTCCGTATAGCCATGTTCAGAGATTTTACCCTGAAGTTCTGAGTAACAGAGACAAACGGTTAAATGTTGTCTACTGACCTAAAGGTTGGTGATTCAAACCCACTCAGAGGCTCCTCCAAAGAAAGATCTGGTGATCTACTGCCGAAAAATCAGCCATAAGAAACACTACGGAACAAGTTCTACTCTGCACACGTAGAGTCTCCCTGAGTCTGAATCAATTCAACAGCAACTCGTTATTGGTTAATACTAGATTAGTAATCAGGGCCTAAGCATTAAAGATAAACTTGTAAATTGAAACTTTTATCTTTTGGAGAAAAGTAGCATCAATAGTTGGGTCAATAAACAATGATTAAGACAGTAAATAAGTTCCTCGATTAAATTTTCAAGAGGGAGATTTCCTGTTTGTGATGACTTAGCACAGATGTGACTGATCATCAGCCCCTTCCAGAAAAAGTTCAATAATAAAACTGAGAATAAAAGGGAAACTATATATATATGACCCATGGTGGTGCAGTGGTTAAGAGCTCGGCTGCTAACGAAAAGGCCAGCAGCTCGAATCCACCAGCCAATTCTTGGAAACCCTACGGGGCCATTCTACTCTGCCCTGTAGGGTCACTATGGGTCGAAATCAACTTCAACGACAACGGGTTTGGTTTCGGTTTGTGTGTATATATATATATATATATATATATATATTATATATATACTTATATATATATATTATTATATTATGTATATAATATACTTAAATGCTTATAACCAAGGAGCACAAAACAAGTGCTGTGGTAACTGGACCAAGTTAAAGGGTGACAAAAAGAGATGATGCCTTTATTAACAGATCACGGATAGATCTGCCTGCGTACAAATTTTGTCCAAGAAGATAGCATACTCTGGGAGATAAACAAATAGCACTATTTTTGATACAGCTGGTCTGAGATAAGTGGACTGGATTCAGAGACCCCCAATAGACCTGCTTGAGATTGGAAGCTTTATGAGTAAAATAAAGATAATTTATTTTGAAATAAGCCAACTAGCCATGCAGTAATATGAAGAAAAACAAATACACAGGGCAAGTAGCCATAGAGCTAGTAATCCTTACTAGCTGAAGAGAAATGGAGGGTAATTCATCCTCCCCAAAACACAAACAAAGTAACAAATATGGCACATATTGGGCTTCAGAGAGAGCTGGGGAGATATTTTGTTATTCCTGAGCAGACTCAATATGTTTGGGAAAAAATACTTCGAAGAGAAACAACGAAAGTATAAGGACACAAAAATGTTAAATAAAAACAAATGAAAGAAGATATTATGCAAATATTAGCTAAAATGATATCAGTGTACCTAAATTAATATCAGTCAAAATAAATATTACAACAAAAAGAAAAAGCCAGTGTAAGGTTCAATTTGACAGGAAAATGTAAAGAGTTAAATGTATACACACTTCAAAAGATAGCATCAATAGATATAAAGGACAAAATAATAGAAGTACAAAGAGAATGCAAACTAAGACCGCTATAGTAAAAGATTTCAACAGAGACTGGAGGAACCCTTAAAACTATGGCCCCCAGGTGCTCTGTTAAGCCAGAATTGAAACCATTCCCAAAGTCCAGGCTTCAGTCAAAAATTAGACAGGACTATAAAACGAAAAATAATACAATTGAAAACATCAGGGCTTGGGTCAGGCACACCTTAGTTCCCAAAGTGACATTTTTGCTTTTCTACACTTCAGTGAGCTCTTTTGCAGTAAATTTTCCCAATGCAATACATCGTTTGATTTATTGACTGCTGCTTCCATGGGCATTGATTTTGGATCCAAGTGAAATGAAAGCCTTGACAACTTCAGTATCTTCTGTTTATCATGATGTTGCTTATTGGTTCATTTGTGAGGATTTTTGTTTCCTTTAGGTTGAGGTGTAATCCATACTGAAAGCTGTAGTCTTCGATGTTCATCAGTAAATGCTTCAAGTCTTCTTCACTTCCAGCAAGCGAGGTTGTGTCATCTGCATATCGCAGGTTGTTAATGGGTCTTCCACGAATCCTGATGCCCCAACTTCTGGGATTATTTGCTCAGCATACAGATAGAATAAGTATGGTGAAAGGATACAACCCTGACACACACCTTTCCTGATTTTAAACCACGCAGTATCCTCTTGTTCTTTTCGAAAGACTGCCTTTTGGTCTATGTACAGGTTCCACATGAGTACAATTAAGCGTTCTGGAATTCCCATTCTTTGAAATGTTATCCATAATTTGTTACAATCCACACAGTCGAATGCCTTTGCATAGTCAATAAAACATAGGTAAATGTCTTTCTGGTATTCTCTGCTTTCAGCCAGGATTCATCTGACATCAGCAATGATATCCCTCATTCCACATCCTCTTCTGAATCCAGCTTGAATCCTGTTGATGTACTGCTGCAACCACTTTTGAATGATCTTCAGCAAAATTTTACTTGCATGTGATATTGATGATATTGTTGGATAATTTCTACATTCTGTTGGATCACCTTTCTTTGGAATGGGCAGAAATATGCATCTTTTCCAGTCAGTTGGCCAGGTAATTATCTTCCAAATTTCTTGGCATGGACAACTGAGTACCTCCAGCGCTGAATTCATTTGCTCAAACATCTCAGTTGGTAATCTGTGAGTTCCTGGAGACTTGTTTTTTGCCAATGCCTTCAGTGCAGCTTTGACCTCTTCTTTCAGTATCATAGGGTCTTGATCATATGCTACCTCCAAAAATGGTTGAACATGGACCAATTCTTTTTGGTACGGTAACTCTGTGTATTCCTTCCATATTCTTCTGACGCTTCTTGCATCATTCAATATTTTGCTCATAGAATCCATCCCTACTGCAACTTGCAGCTTGAATGTTTTCTTCAGTTCTTTCAGCCTGAGAAATGCCAAGTGTGTTCTTCACTTTTGGTTCTAACTCCGGGTCTTTGCACATGTCATTATAATACTTTATTTTGTCTTCACAAGCAGCTATTTGAAATCTTCTGTTCAGCTCTTTTACTTCATCATTTCTTCCATTCACTTTAGCTACTTAAGTTCAAGAGAAAGCTTCAGGGTCTCCTGTAACATCCATTTTGGTCTTTTCTTTCTTTCCTGTCTGTTTAGTAACCTTTTGCTTTCCTCATGTATGTGTTTGATGTCATCCCACAACTCGCCTGGTCTTTGGTAATTAGTGTTCAATGTGTCAAATCTATTCTTGAGATGGTCTCCAAATTCAGACGGAATATACTCGAGGTCATATTTTGGTTCTTGTGTACTTGTTTTAATTTTCCTTAGCTTCAACTTAAACTGGCATATGAGCAATTAATGGTGTGTTCCACAGTCGCCTCCTGTCCTTGTTCTGACCGATGATACTGAGCTTTTCCATTGTCTCTTTCCACAGATGTGGTCGATTTGATTTTTATGTTTTCATCTGCTGAGGTCCTCCTGCATAATCGCTGTTTATGTTTTTAAAAAACGGTATTTGCAATGGCTTGATTGCATGTTTGGTCAATTACAGATTGCAAAAGTTGGTAAAAATCTTCAATTTCTTCATCTTTGGCATTAATGGTTGATGTGTAAATTTGAATAATAGTCTTCTTAACTGGTCCTCCTTGTAGGCATGTTGATATTATCCTATCACAGACAGCATTGTACTTCAGGATAGATCTTGAAATGTTCTTTTTGACAATGAATTCCATTCCTCTTTAATTTGTCATTCCCGCCATTGTAGATGCAGCATAGACTGTCTGACTCAAAATGGCCTATGCCAGCCCATTTCATCTCACTAATGCCTAGGATATCAGTCTTTATGTGTTCCATTTCATTTTTGACTACTTTCAATTTTCCTAGAATCATAATTCATACATTCCACATTCCGATTATTACTGGATGTTTGCAACTGTTTCTTCCCATTTTGATTCATTCCACATCAGCTAATGAAGATCCTGAAAGCTTTACTCCAGCAAGTAAAGCTTTAAGAGTTAAGGTCAACTCTACTTTGAGGAGGCAGCTCTTCCCCAGTGCCTGTGAGTGCCTTCAACCAGAGGGGTCCATCTTCTGGAACTATTTCAGACAATGTTCTGCTGTTATTCAAAAAGTTTCACTGACAAATTTTTTTCAGAAGTAAACCACCAGTTACTTTTCCTAGTCTGTCTTAGCCTGTGGGTCCTCTGGATCCTGTACAGCATGGATGACCCTGCTGGTATTTGTTTTCTGAAAAATTTTATTATTATTAATCTTTGAGGAAAATACTTTGGAGACTAGCTACATATCTCCATACCTATCTATTTATCTATTAGCTCATATGTTGAAAATTTCCTTTTATATTTATGTAACAATTATTTTCATACTACTTAGCTCCATTTTTTAATCTTTGAAATCTGTCCCACTCTGAAAGAGGAATGTAAAATTTATTTTTATAATTGCATTTATTAAGTTTTGAATTACTAATTTGTTTTGTTTACTTATGTAGAATCTACATGATTTGGTATACATATGTTAAGACTGTTATCTTTCCCACAAATCAAGTCTTCTGTCATATCTCTCCATCTTATATTTGGCTTTTAATTTTAAATTCTTGTTAATGATATTAATATTACAATATCATTATTACAATAACATTTCTTTCTATTTATTTGCATTTCCTGGTATGTATTTGCTATTCTTTTATTTTTTATACCTTTCTTTAACCCCGTGTTTTAGAAACAACGTATAACTGAATTTATTTATTAAGAACATTTAACGGTTTTATTATTTCTCTAGAGGATTCAGCTCTCTTTCTTCAGTTATATTGACATATTAATTTTATTCTTTCATCTTGCTCCATGTTTACTACTTATTTCGCACCATATTTTCTTGATTTTTATTTTTCTTATTTTTTTGTGTTTTATCCACCTTTTTATTTTATTAACTATGTATAAAACATGTTGTCCTCTAGTTAATTCTGACTCATGGTGACCCACGTGTGACAGAGTAGAACTGTACTCCACAGGTGTTTTAGTGATTAATTTTTGGGAGCAGATCAACAGGCCTTCCTTCTGAGACACCTCTAGGTAGACTCAAACCTCCAAGCTTTCAGTTAGCACCCAAGCTCATTAACTATTTGTACCACTAGGTTCATCATTACTTCTTGGTAATTTGAAATATCTACCGTGTTCTCCATTCTATTATAGATTACCTTCTTATTTGCAATAATTACAAATAAGCACACGTAGATTCTACTATCTCAAAACAAGATTCCATCTATGCTCTCCCCGACACATACACTACCTTTACCTCTAGTTCTTCACTCCAAATATTACCTTTACAGTATATACCCTTCCTCTCTTCATTTTTACATCTTATCCTCATTCTGTCCTCTCATTGTAAACCACCAAAGATAGTGCCACATTTTTTTTTTTTTTATCTGTAATCCTAAACCCACTATTTCTATCTGAAGGAAACAAACAAAACCAGTATTTGCTCCTAGCCCTCTGTGGTGAGGATGCACCAATCAGTGCTTAGATTCAGTGTGGCAGCACCCCACACAGGTGCCCCTGAGCTCCCTCCTGCTTCATGTGTCCTCAACTAACAGATCTGTGTTCACTCTTGGGCTTCCAACAGTATTTAGCATTTAGAGGCTCTGGTTTCTTTCTTCAGTCTGACCGTATCTGCTTCCCAAATGTCAGGGATTATAAAACATAATGGAGTTTTAATGCCATTTTTATGTAAAGCAGTGAAGTTTTTTTTCCCATTACAAGCTGGACAAATACAATACAGAAGTCGACTAATAATAACATATGCATAAACATGTTCCTCAGTATATTACACAACTAAATATTATATACATCCCATGCATGCAATATACCATGCGAAGTTCACTTTATTTTCTTGACTTGAAATGTACTTGTAGGCTATGTCTACACTTTTCATTCAAAAATGCCCATTTCAAATGTCAGTTATGACACAGATTTCTAAGCTAAAATCTATTTTGGTTACTCTATATATTCTTACTGAAGAATTTATCACATCATAGTCTGTTTAGATTTGTTTAATCAGTCTGCACATACACTTGATAACTCAGTAACTTAAGAGAAGACTATATCACTTATATTTGTATCTCTAACACTTCATACCATTTTTAGTGTATGTTACAGTACAGTGAATTTTGTTGACCTCTATAATTTTCTTAGACAAAAGCGTTATTCACTGAAATTCTATCATATGTGGTTAGTGTAAGTTAGTATTTGTCAAAATAATGACATTTGTTGCAACTCTTCATTTTTAAACATTAGAGAAGCCTGAAGGAAAAGCATTTTTTAAGCATGCAATTTCAATTGAAGCTGCTTTTAATCAGAATCTAAATGCTCCAAAGGGAAGTAACTCTACTTAAATTCAACTGTAAAAAATTCAGCAAGAATGTGAGACTTACCAGTCGAAAGAGGTAATTTTGTCATCCAAGACTTTAGAGTCTCCTGTATTTTGTCAGGGAGATAATCCCAGCCAAAAGTAAATAAACCTCAGGGATTTTATAAGTTCCTACAAGAAACAGAGACATTCTGATTCTAGACGTTACTTCCTTAAATAATTTTTTACAAGTTACTATTTGTCATGGATTGAGTTGTGTCCCCCAAAAATATCTGTCAGTTTGGCTGGGTTATGATTCCCAGTATTGTATGATTGTGTTATCTGACATGATTTCCTTATGTATTGTAAACTGTATCACTATGATGAGATTATATGTGATCTCCTTAAGTGTTGTAAATTCTATCATTGTGATGAGGTTATACTGACAAGGTTGACAAGATTAGTGTCTTAATGCAATCTTTTTTGAGATATAAAAGAGAGAAGCGAGCAGAGACACATGGGAACCTCATACCACCAAGAAAGCAGTGCTGGGAGCAGAGAGCGTCCTTTGGACCTGAGGTTCCTGTGCAGAGAAGCTCCCAGACCAAAGGAAGACTGTTGACATGGACTTTCCTCCAGAGCTGATGGAGAAAGCGTTCCCCTGGAGCTGATGCCCTGAATTTGGACTTGCAGCCTGCCGGACTGTGAGAGAATAAATTTCTCTTTGTAAAGCCATCCACTTGGGGTATTCCTGTTAGAGCAGCACCAGATGACTGAGACACTATTTTAAGGTAATATTCAATGTTACATAGTTTAGGTAACATTGCAGTACTACTTTTCAATGCCATCCTAGGAAATGGAAAGAAAGTGCTTGTTTTGATGGCCTTGTCATCACCCTAGTTGTGAAGGAGGGATCCCTGCTCTAGGGTGATGGGAATGGCTGAACACATAGCACACAACACTGCACGGATGAGGTTAGCAGCAGTTAGTCACAGGTACTCAGTTCGAGGAAGGAGGATACCACATGCCATGCAGGGCTACAGAAGGGTAGCACTCGGGAACAGCGTGAACAAATGGGCTTTGGAGGCAGGTTATGTATTATCAAGAGGATGGGGTGCCCCTTGGTTCCTGTGGGAGAATGTGATTGGCTTGTTTGAATGAACTGGCAGAAAATGGATACCTAGCCTACTACTCAGGGCTAAGCGGGAGCTGAATTTAGTCCTTGTGACAAGGAGCATTCTTTGGCTAGTGAACCTTATCTGTGGGAGTGGGGAGCTTGCAGTTAGGCCATTTGAGCCCTTCACCCCTTCACACCCTGAGATACCAAGGCAGCGCATAATATTGAACATTAATTTTAGATCGCACATCACAGTGCTCCTTACTATGAGGTTTCCTCCAGCATTTGTACAATATCAAGAAGGGATCTCCCTTCGATGCATAACTTCAAGTTAGGGTTGATGAAATTTCACAAGTTACAGGATTCAAATATTTGAGTAGTAAATGTTCAGTCCAGGCCAAAGGAGGTAGTTAATGACAGTAAACTTAACAGAAATAGAAAAAGAAAAGGTGAAAAATGCAGATCATGAGAGTGGTTATAAGAACAGAATTTGGAATCAGTCCAATGCAGTTGAAGAAACTTTTTTTTTTCTTATTCCAGGCTTTTTTTTTTTTAAATAAGCAACTACAAATGTGTCATTTGAGAATGATCAGGAGAGAAAGAGATTGATTGCCTGCCATTCCATAAAGATTGACAAAGATTCTTATAGTAGCGAAGCAGAGAATCTCATAAAAATGTACTTTTGCTTAAAGAATAAATATACGATTATTTTCTGAGACATCATAAACAGAGTAATAAAAAAGCATGGATAGATTATTTAGATATGAGAAAAATATTAAATAAATTTTAAAAAAAAAACTACTAGAGAACTCATTTTTCCTGGGACCCAAGGACTAAGTGCCATATATACGCTTGGTATATGACTTTGCCATCCCATCTCAAGTCTATTTATTTTTACATATTTTGATGACATTTTCTAGGCTTTGGTCTTTCCTGAGAATGTATCCAATGTGTAAGTGAGCCAAAGCCTTGTCATCCTCGCTTCTAAGGAGCATTCTGATAATATTTTTTCTAAGATTGATTACGTTTGATAAAGTAAAGTGGCCGCAAAAATGAAGAAAACTCTTAATGAGACGAATTGATATAGTAGCCATGGCAATGGGCTCAAAATTCCAATGATCATGAAGATGGCTCAGGATTAGGCACCATTTCATTCTGTTATACATAAGGTAGCCATAAAGCAGAACAAAGTAAGTGGTGACTAACAATACATACTTCAGCAAAACCATCTGCTATCCTAGGATATCTTAGCTTTTTCTCTTAAAAAAAGAGGAATCCAAAATGGCAAAACATGGCAAAAGATAAATATTTGCATCTGGCTTACTGCACAGATCAAAAACACCCCCCTTAGGGAAAAACTTCTCTCCCATTTACCTCCCTGCTCCCTGCTCTGCACTGGGTCTGGGATGGCTTCAGGGATTGCCAAGTCCCCCGGGGCAGACATAGGATCCGTCACACACCCAGAGGCATTACCCCTACCTTGGAGAGTGAACTAATTAACAAACAGGGAAAAAAATAAACTGCCGGCTCCCCTAAACCAGTAACCCAGGGTAAGCACAGCTCCTTTGCCTAGGCACAGGCCTAAGGGATCCATGGACTTTGAGTGCCTTTCCCCCTATAGACACTTGTGTGGGCCCATTTCAATAGCGTAGGCCCTCATTGCGGCAGTACAACAGGCAATATACCTGAAGTCTAACTTCAACTGTTTCAGCTGTGAAGTGGCAGGTTCATGACATTCGATACTGCTCTACCCATTAAGCAGGGTCTTCACCTACCCACATCAGGGGCCTGAGGACTGGTGGCTACACTCACACCACCTAGCCGCCTGCCATAAGGGCCCAAGAATAAGAGGTGCCCCGCAGTCCCTACAGCCAACAGCCCTGGGTGCTCACAGTCCAGCTGCAAAACCCACCCACCTGCACACTCTAAGAAACAGGGACGCGCTTTCCTCCTGGACACTTGGAGGCAGCCATCAGCCCCCCGCCTTGTTCAGTGTGTGTCCTCCTGCTACAGCTGGATGCCTGCACCTATCCCAATCATCCATGCCTGTCTAGGACTTCAGGTGAGAGCCTGCACCACACACTTGGTGGCCGACTACCTGGACACCTGAGCTGAATCCATACAGGAGGAGTGAGCAGACTCCTGGGCTCACATACTTAATGGTAGTTCTGGCCAACTGGTGGCAGGCCGTTGGAGCTTTGGGGGCATGGGTGATTGAGCTAGCTCACATGAGCAGCCGATTTGGGCATATCAAAACAAAACAAGAAGCTAGGACACAGTAAGAAAACATAAAATAAATATAATAACTTATTGATGGCTTGGAGACAACAGTCAATATAAAAGCACATAAACAGGCAGACCATGATGGCTTCTGCAAGCTCCCAAAATAAAGAATCTAGAAATTTTCCAGATGAAGAAAATTTCTTGGAATTACTGGAGGCAGAATACAAAAGATTAATATACAGAACGCTTCAAGACATCAAGAAGGAAATTAGGCAAAACTCAGAACACACAATAGAGGAAATTAAAAAGATTAGAAAAGAGCATAATGACAAATCTAACAGGCAGCAAGAATCCATAGAGAGACAGCAATCAGAAATCCGGAAGATTACAATAAAATTTCACAATTAGACAACTCAATAGAAAGTCATAGGAGTAGAATAGTGGCAATGGAAGTCAGAATTAGTGAGACTGAAGACAAAGCACTTGACACCAACTTATTTGAGGAAAAATCAGATAAAGGATTTTTAAAAAATTAAGAAAACCTAAGAATTATGTGGGATTCTATCAAGAGGAATAACCTACGAGTGATTGGAGTACCAGAACAGAGGGGGATAACAGAAAATACAGAGAGAATTGTTGAAGATTCATTGGCAGAAAACTTCCCTGATAGCGTGAAAGATGACAAAATATCTATCCAAGATGCTTATCAAACCCCACATAAGGTAGATACCAAAAGAAACTCACCAAGACTTATTATAATCAAACTTACCAAAACCAAAGATAAAGAGAGAATTTTAAGAGTGGCTAGGTATAAATGAAAAGTTATCTAAAGAGCAGAGTCAATAAGAATAAGCTTGGACTACTCAGCAGAAACCATGCAGGCAAGAAGGCAATGGGATGACATATATAAAGCCTTGAAGGAAAAAATTGTCAGCCAAGAATTATATATCCAGAAAACTGTCTCTCAGATATGATGGCAAAATTAGGGTATTTCTAGATAAACAGAAGCTTAGGGAATTTGCAAAAAATCAAACCAAAATTGCAGGAAATACTAAAGGTAGTCCTCCGGTTGGAAAATCAATAACATCCAACAACAACTCAAGACTAGAAAACAGGACAGAGCAACCAGATATCAACCCAGATAGGGAAGTCACAAAAATAAATCAAAGCTAAAACACTGAAAATAGGGAAACAGAGATGTCAATACGTAAAAGATGACAACATTAAAAAAAATGGAGGGACTAAAAAATGTAGACATAGATTTCTCATACGGAGAGGAAGTCAAGGCAATAAAAAGGAAAAAAAAGACTAGTAAGCTTAGAGAAATCGGGGTAAATATTAAGGTAACCACAAAAGAAACTAACAATACCACACATCGAAACAAAAGACTAGAAAAATATAAAGACTCAGCAAATACAAAATCAATGACAATGAAAAAGATGAAAAGAAAGTACATAAAGAAAAATGACTCAGCACAGAAAATTAAGTGGAATAAAGAAACTGTCAACAACACACACAAAAAAAGACATCAAAATGACAGCACTAAACTCTTATCTATCAATAATTCCTCTGAATGTAAATGGACTAAATGCACCGATAAAGAGACAGAGAATGACAGACTGGATAAAAAACACGATCTGTCTATATGCTGCCTACAAGAGATACACCTTAGACTTAAAAACACAAGCAAACTAAAACTCAAACAATGGAAAAAATATATCAAGCAAACAACACTCAAAAAAGAGCAGGAGTGGCAATATTAATCTCTGACAAAATAGACTTTAAAGTAACATCCACCACAAAGGATAAGGAAGGACACTATATAATGATTAAAGGGTCAATACAGCAGGATGACTTAACTATAATAAATATTTACGCACCCAACGACAGGGCTCCAAAATACATGAAACAAACTCTAACAGCATTGAAAGGAGAGATAGACAGCTCCACAATAGAGTAGGAGACTTCAACACGTCACTTTCAGTGAAGGACAGAATATCCAGAAAGAAGCTCAACAAAGACATGGAAGATCTAAATACTACAATCAACCAACTAGATCTCATAAACTGAACACTCCACCCAACAGCAGCCAAGTACACTTTCTTTTCCAGGGCACATGGAACATTCTCCAGAATAGACCACACATTAGGCCATAAAGCAAGCCTTAACAAAATCCAAAGCATTGAAATATTATAAAGGATCTTTTCTGAAAATAAAGCCATAAAAGTAGAAATCAATAACAGAAAAAGCAAGGAAGAAATCAAACACATGGAAACTGAATAGCACCTTGCTCAAAAACTACTGGTTTATAGAAGAAATTAAGGATGGAATAAAGAAATTCATAGAATCAAATGAGAATGAAAACACATCCTATCAGAACCTTTGGGATGCAGCAAAAGCAGTGCTCAGAGGTCAGTTTATAGCAATAAATGCACATATCCAAACAGAAGAAAGGGCCATAATCAAAACGTTAACCCTACAACTGAATAAGTAGAAAGAGAGCAGCAAAAGAAGCCCTCGGGCACCAGAAGAAAGGAAGTATTAAGAATTAGAGCAGAATTCAATGAAATAGAGAATAGAAAAACAATTGAAAGAGTCAACAAGACTAGAAGCTGGTTCTTGGAAAAGATCAAGAAAATTGATAAACCACTGGCCAAACTGACAAAAGAAAAACAGGAGAGAAAGCAAATAACTCGTATAAGAAATGAGATGGATGATATCACAACAGACCCAACCGAAATTTAAAGAATCATAACAGAATACTATGAAAAATTGTATTCTAACAAATTTGCAAACCCACAGGAAATGGACAAATTTCTACAAACTCCCTACCTACCTAAACTAACACAAACAGAGGTAGAACAACTAAATAAACCCATAACAAAAGAAGAGATAGTAAAGGTAATTAAAAAACTCCCAACAAAAAAATCCCTGGCCAGGACGGCCTTACTGGAGAATTCTGCCAAACTTTCAGAGAAGAGTTAACACCACCACTACTAAAGGTATTTCAGAGCATAGAAAAGGACAGAATACCCCCAAACTCATTCTGTGAAGCCAGCATAACCCTGACACCAAAACTAGGTAAAGACACCACAAAAAAAGAAAATTACAGACCAATATCCCTCATGAACATTGATGCAAAAAATCCTCAACAAAATTCTACCCAATAGAATTCAGCAACATATCAAAAAAATAATTCACCATGATCGAGTGGGATTTATACTAGCTATGCAGGGATGGTTCAACATTAGAAAAACAATCAATGTAATCCATCACGTAAATAAAACAAAAGACAAGAACCACTTGATCTTATCATTCAATGCAGAAAAGGCATTTGACAAATTCCAACATCAACTCATGATAAAAACTCTCAACAAAATAGGAATAGAAGGGAAATTCCTCCACATAATTAAGGGCATTTATACAAAGCCAACAGCCAACATCATCCTAAATGGAGTTTGAAAGCATTCCCCTTGAGAATGGGAGCCAGACAAGGATGCCCTTTATCACCACTCTTATTCAGCATGTGCTGGAGGTCCTAGCCAGAGCAATTGGGCTAGAAAAAGAAATAAATGGCATCCAAATTGGTAGGGTAGAAGTAAAAGTATCTCTATTTGCAGACGATATGATCTTATACACAGAAAACCCCAAAGAATCTACAAGAAAGCTACTGGAACTAATAGATTTCAGCAAAGTTTCAGGATACAAGATAAACATACAAAAATCAGTTGCATTCCTTTACACCAACAAGGAGAACCTCAAAGAGGAAATCACCAAATCAATACAATTTACAGTAGCCCCCAAGAAGATAAAATACTTAGGAATAAATCTAGCCAGAGAAGTAAATGACCTATACAACGAAAACTACAAGGCACTACTGCAAGAAACCAGGAGAGACCTGCATAAGTGGAAAAACATACCTTACTCATGGATAGGAAGACTCAACATTGTGAAAATGTCAATTCTACCCAAAGTTACCTACAGATACAATGCAATCCCGATCCAAATTCCAACAGCATTTTTTAATGAGACGGAGCAACAAATCACCAACTTCACACGGAAAGGGAAGAGGCCCCAAATAACTAAAGCATTACTCAAGAAGAAGAACAAAGTGGGAGGCCTCACACTACCTTATTTTAGAACCTATTATACTGCCATGGTCATCAAAACAGCCTGCTACTGGTACAACAACAGATACATAGACCAAAGGAACAGAATTGAGAATCCAGACATAAATTCATCCATCTATGAGCAGCTGATATTTGACAAAAGCCCAGAGTCCATTAACTGGGGAAAAGACAGTCTCTTTAACAAATGGTGCTGACATAACTGGATATCCATCTGCAAAAAAACTGAACCAAGACCCATACCTCACACCATGCACAAAAACTAACTCAAAATGGATCAAAGACCTAAATATCAAATGGAAAATGATAAAGATCATGGAATAAAAAATAGGGACAATGCTAGGAGCCCTAATACATGGCATAAACAGAATACAAACCATAAGTAACAATGCACAAGCACCAGAAGAGAGACTAGATAACTGGGAGCTCCTAAAAATCAAGCACTTATGCTCATCAAAAGACTTCACCAAAGGAGTCAAAAGACAACCTCCAGACTGGGACAAAAATTTTGGCTACAACAAATCCGATCAGCGTCTAATCTCTCAAATCTACAAGATACTGTAAAATCTCAACAACAAAAAGATAAATAACCCAATTAAAAAATGGGCAAAGGATATGAAAAGGCACTTTGCCAAAGAAGACATTCAAGCAGTTAACAGACACATGAAGAAGTGCTCACGATTATTAGCCATTACAGAAATGCAAATCAAAACTATAATATGATACCATCTCAGCCCAACAAAGCTAGCGTTAATCCAAAAAACACAAAATAATAAATGCTAGAGGTTGTGGAGAGACTGGAACACTTATATACTGTTGGTGGGAATGTAAAATGGTACAACCACTTTGGAAATAGATTTGGCACTTCCTTAAAAAGCTAGAAATAGAAGTACCTTACAATCCAGAATCCCACTCCTGGGAATATATCCTAGAGAAATAAGAGCCATCACACGAATAGATACATGCACACCCATGTTCATTGCAGCATTGTTCACAATAGCAAAAATATGGAAACAACCTAGATGCCCATCAGTGGACAAATAGATAAACAAATTACGGTGTATTCGCACAATGGAATACTACACAACGATAAAGAACAATGATGAAGCCGTGAAACATCATAACATGGAGGACTTTCGAGGGCATTATGCTGAGTGAATTTAGTCCATCACAGAAAGACAAATATCGTATAAGACCACTATTATAAGAACTCAAGAAGAGGTTTAAACACAGAATACATTCTGGGAAGGGTGGGATGCAGAACTCAAATTCTAGTAAAAAAGACCAGACTTAGCCCGGAAGGCAGAAGGGGAGTAGGAAGCTGATGATAGGGAACACAAAGTAGAGTAAGGATATTGTTGATGTGTTGTGAGATTGTTAACCATTGTCATAGGGCAACATTTGTAGTAACTGTTAAATGGGAGACTATTTTGTCCTGTAAGCCTTCATCTTAAGTGAGAATAACAGCACAATTAGAAGAGCGTAGTCAATGTCACTTAAATGTGTATGTAAAAAAAAAAATTTTTGAAATGGCGTATCTTTGGCTATGTGCATTTTCACAAAAGAAAAAAAAAAAAGTTGAGAATTTAGAGGGTTAAAATGTTGTGGGGTTGTTAACCAATGTCATAAAACAGCATGTGTGTTACTGTTATATGAGAAAGTATCTGTTCTGTAAGCCTTCACCTGAAGTACAATAAAATATTTAAAAAAAAAAAAAAAAGACCAGACTTAATGGTCTGACTGAGGCTGGAGGAACCCCAGAAAGCACGGCCCCTGGACTCTCTGTCAGCCCAAAACTAAAACAATTTCCAAGGCCAACTCTTCAGACAAAGATTGGACTGGACTGTGGGACATAAAATTATACTCGTGAAGAGTGTGCTTCTTAGCTCAAGTAGATACATGAGACTAAATGGCAGCTTCTGTCCAGAGGTGAGATGAGACGTCAGAGAGGGTTAGGAGCTGGTTGAATGGACATGGGAAATCAGGGGTGGAAAGGAGGAGTGTGCTGTCACAATATAGGGAGAGCAATTAGGGTCACATAACAATATATGTATAAATTTTTGTATGACAGACTAACTTGAATTGTAAACTTTCACTTAAACTACAACGATTTTTAAAAAAATGTGAAAACAAAGAATTTCCCCCTGTGTAGATTTTATGGAATTAGTAACCCTCAGAAATAATCTCCAGATTCTCTGTTTGTTTTGATATAAATGTTCAGAAACTGTGTTGTGAGAGTTGATTTCAGGGTTCCAGTTTGGAAATATTAAGACCTGAGCATTCTGAGTATTCTTAACTACCCATATGCCCGTCAGTTTCTAAAGACCCCAAAGGTCCTAAGGCCCTAGGCTAAAGATTAATATGACCTATGTTGGCTATGGTACCCAGAGGTAAGTCACTTGATAACTAAAATAAGGCAGAATTATGTCGAGGTTAATATGTCTTTCCCTCCGAAGATCCCACTGCCTTCTATTCTTTGATGGAAGAGGGATTTCCTCTCTCACACGCAGAGAACCACGGAGCCTTACCAAAACACTTTTGGACTTAATCTTCAATAGACTGGCATTCCAAGCAGAACACCTCATTTCACTGTTTTGCCATGTTTGAGCATCATGAAATAAGCCATAACAGGTGTCCTCATGCCACATCCATTTCTCTGGACAAGGTTTACATTTGTGCTCTGGAAGAAGAACATAGTTTTATTTTATCCATACTGTTATTCTCCTTCATTATTCCCTTTACCTCTGAATTAAATTGATTAAATGCACTTGTACTTCTTCTTTTTAAATCAAAAGAGACGAAAATGAATTCTATACTCTAGATCTCCATCTTACATCAAGGAGTCCCTGGGTGTTGAAAATGGTGAATGTACTTGGCTGCTAAGGAAGGATTGGAGGTTTGAGTCCACCCAGAAGCACCTTGGCAAACAGCCTGGTAATCTGCTTCTAAAAAACCAGCCATTGAAAATCGTACAGAGCACAGTTCTGTTCTGAAATACATGGGGTCGCCATGAGAAGAACCGACTCAACAGCAAGTGGTTACCTTCCACCATAATGTGTCCAACTCATAACCTGAACAACACATTTCAAATTAAGCACCTGGCTTCTAGTCCAGGGTGTCTTCCAATCTCTGGAGACTTGAATAATGATTCATTAATTTTCCCGTCTCCCTTTTTCATTTTTTAATCCTTTTTGGCAATAAAATCTAATCTCAAGAAGCATTCTGTGTGAGGGAATCAGCTCCAAATACCTACATCAACCCTGCCTTCCCCTATGAGAGCACCTCTCTCTCTCTGACTTGCTGGATACTTCAGAGGCTTCTCAGGAGCTCAGATAGCTCCTGAGACCATCTTCCTCAATTACAAATGTAATCCCTGACTTTATTATTTTTTTCCTATTGACTATCTTTCTCTTCAATCATTAACTATAATTTAGGAACTAGGTCACCTATACAGTGATGTCCTTTCAGGTCTATCTTCTATTGACCTCAGTGCCTCAGAATAACAGTAGTAAATGTTAGATTAGAGAATATGTATCCTGTGAAAACAATGGGATTGGTCTCACCGTTAATGTCTAATGTTTTACTGCATAACTGTCACTCCCTGAGAATTTGAGGGCATAGAGTTCACATTCCTTTTTTGGTTTTTCTTCTACCTGCGTGGCAATATCAATGAGTCCTCTGTTGGCAATATTTAATCTTCTCATTCAAATAATGGCTCCATCAGGAAAGGCGTCTGGCTCTTGAGGAAATGATTCGCAAGTGACTCTGAGGTTTAGTGCATTGTTTAATAACTCAGAGAGGAATTCAAAGACTACCTTTTTGGGTTTTGTATTGCTCACAACATAATTTGGTGGCTATGTTTTACAGTGTGGCGGAAAGGATCAAGTTCTCTTTGGAGATATTCCTGTTGCTCACGACTTGAAAAGAAATATTTCTCTGAAGTTCTTCTTTGAGATTTTGCAGTTTATTGAAGTTTTCCATTTCTATCTTTGAGGTTCTGTAAACTTCAGATCAAAAAAAAAGAGCCAATTAAATATTTTTATCCCTCAACAGAACCATACCTGCTTTCTGCAGGAATAATGTTGAGAAGATTAAAGGGGTAGGGAAGCAGTTGCTACATAAGAGTGAGAGAAAAAACTAAGTACTGTCTCTAAGTACCACATTATAAGTGACTTTTTGGGCGTATCACCTATAATAACTCTAAGGTCTCAAATCAAAGAAAATATTTTGGTTGTAAAACTCATGCAATTCCAGGTGCTGAGGGAATACATACATATGCTTCCCAAGATTCCCAATCCAATCAGCAGTAGAAGGCACAGAAGACTCAGGGCCCAGATCATTCGACGCCAAACCCGGGATGGAGCAGAAGGTGCTGTGGAAAGCAAAATCACCAAAGAGGTGTGGAAATAGTATACATCTTAATGGGACTGATTGATTGACTTTTGCCTTTTTTTTTTTTTAACATTTTCTTCTAAAGAAATGTGATTTGCTAGAAACCATGGGCACTTAAAAAATCTTTTAGAACAATAAGTCACGAATAAGTAAAAAATGTTCGTGTGCATGCAAATTGGTTCTCACAGGAGAAGCAGTAAACTGGTAGGCTGATTCAAGAAACAAAGAGGCAAAAGCAGGATTTATAAAAGATAGAGGGAGAAAGCTAACTAATCTGGATACACTGTATCTTATTTGTGCACATTTGGGAAAACTGAACAGCTGTCAGCTATTAGAGAGGTAAACCTGGGTATTCCTTGTTTTAGTAGCTGACATAGTGACAAAGAAAACAATTTCCATTGTGTATGGATTCCCTAGAACATCCTAAATTATTATTAAATCACTGTATTATATAAATTCATTATGTGTACATGTGAAGGCTAGATACTTCAAGCAAATATAATTCAGAGATCATACGATACTTCTATTGTCGTTTCATTATATGCCCTTCAACTCAGTTGGTGGTGCAATAATATTGTGAAATACAGAGAGGATTGCTAATAAAATGTGGAAGTTTCTTCACACTTTGGAAAATAGTAGTGAAAGAACTAGTTTTTGGGTCTTGTCTAAGGTTAGAATGATGATTTCACGTGCTATATTTCCTTTGAATTATTTTCTCACTTATTCATTAACTCAATTACTCAGAAGTTATTTATTGAGGATTTTTATACACTACACACTATTTTGCATGCTACCAATATAGAGTAAGTAAAACACGCAAGTCCCTGCTCTCATAGAACTTAAATTTTAATTCTGAGAGAAAATACAGAGAAGATAGGTAAAAACCCATTGCCATCGAGTCGATTCCGACTCATAGTGACCCTATAGGACAGAGCAGAACTGCCCCATAGGGTTTCCAAGGAGCGTCTGGTGGATTTGAACTGCTGCTCTTTTGGTTAGCAGCCACAGCTCTTAACCATTATGCAGCCAGGGTTTCCATACTATAGGTAAAGAAATAGACAAATAAATCAGGAAATCTCAAGCTGTACAATGCTATGCAGAGGTTTGAAATCAAGTGATAATAGAAAGTGCCTAGTTCACATCTTATGGCTCATGGGGACCAGCATGCAAAATCAGTGGAAAGAACATTATAGGCAGCAACAACATCTAGCTCAAAGATCCTAATTTTGGGAAAAGTTTTGCCTATTTGGAAAGAAAAAGAAATCCAGAGTGGCTAAAGAATTGTGTCCAAGGCAAGATATAATGTTAGAAGACATCAAAGAGAAAGGCAACAGACTGACAAAAGCATTGTTAGCCAGAGAAACAAGGTTGGATTTTTTTTTTTTTTTTTTTTTTGAAATCACCAGAAGTATTTAATCAGAAGAGAAAATAGCTGATTTTTTTTTTTCTTTTTCTTTCTTTTTTAAGAAAGGGCACTGTGACTGCACATGAAGGATGGATTTTGGGCTACCGTATTGAAATCAGGGAAAATAGTACAAAAGATACAACAATATACTATGTGAGAAAGAATAGTGTCCTGGTTTACTAGTATTAAGGAAAGTGATAACCCATGAGTAGATTCAGGATACATTTTGAAGTTAGAGTTTATAGCACACATTTATGAATTGTTTGTAGGAGATTTTTGATTTCAGGAAGTTGATGGATACTGAACATACGCACACATATAAGCTGTATAGCATGGTGATAAAAAGCACAACATCATCTTTAAAAGTAGAATACTTAGGGTTGAAAACATGTTCTGTGGCTTACAATTTGTGGGTCCTTGGGCAAATTACTTAACCTCAATATGCCTCAGTTTCTACATTAGTAAAAATAAAAAAAACCAAACCCATTGCTGTCGAGTCGATCCCAACTCATAGCGACCCTATAGTGCAGAGTAGAACTGCCCCATAGAGTTTCCAAGGAGTGCCTAGTGGATTCGAACTGCCGACCTTTTGATTAGCAGCTGTAGCACTTAACCACTATGCCACCAGGTTGTGGAACCCTAATGCTGAACTAGTTAAAGAGTTTTGCTGCTAACCAAAAGATCAGCAGTTCAAATCCACTAGTCACTCCTTGAAAACTCTATGGGGAAGTTGTACCCTTTCTTTGGAAACCCTATGGGGCAGCTGTACTCTGTCCTATAGGTTCACTATGAGTCACAATCAACTCCACAGCAATGGCTATTAGTAAAAATAGGAAGGCCATAAAGGTTTGGAAATTAAATGATTTGATATGTACAATTCAGTCATCACAGTTCTGGCACTGTAAACACTTGATCATTGCTTGATTTTCATTTATGTATTTAATGAGATGAGGATGATTGGGAAGAGTGAACAGATTCAAGGAGAAAATAAGTATTTCTATTTTTTCCATTTTTCATTTGAAATGAATTTAGACATCCATATGGAAATGTCAAATAGATACCAGAATTTTCTAGTCTAGAGATCCAAAGATAGGCCATAACGAGATATTTGAGAGTCATTGTGTTTGAAGGCAGAGGATTGAATAAAATTATATTGAGTGACACAAGAAAAGAGAACCCAGAACAGAGCCCTTGAGTGTTCCAACATACAGAGTTTGATCCAGCAATAAAAATCAAAACAGGAGGCTGAGAAGGAACAGTCATTGTGATAGCAGAAAACCAGATAGCCTGTGTCCATGAAGATAGGCAAAGAAAGTGCTTAAAGTAGAGGACTTCTGGGCAACATGGCACTATGGACAGAAGCACCAAGCCATCCCTCCACAGCAAAGATCCAAAAAACTAAGTCAAACAGAGACACACTTCAATCCTGAAACCATAAGCATCAAATGAAGAGATAAAGAATTCAGTCAAGCACCAAATGGAATAAGAAACTGACCAAGAACAGAGAGCGAGAAGAGATACATGCAGAGGTCCCCTACCAGCTACCACAGCATGGATCCATCATCTTGGATTCCTATCGGAGATCGGGAAACAGGGGGTATGAGAAAGCAGCTTCACAGAGTTTCCAGCAGGAGACAAAACAAATGGTAACCAGTGATAGACGGTTTCCCACCCACCACCCTTCTTTTCTTCACCCCCACTTGGCCTCCTCTTGTTCCTGTGGCAACAGTCTCTTAGCCGGGAAGCACCGGCTTCACCCTGGTGTTGCTTGGATTGCACCCGCCCACTCTGGCTGGCTAACCGAGTGCCATTTGTTGGCTGTTAGTGTTGCTTTTTTCCACTTCTTTTGATTTCTTCCTTACCTCTCACCATCTCCCCCTCCTTTCTCTCAAACACCTGGCTCCATGAGCCATCTTTGCTTCTTCCTGAAAGGTTGTGAAACACCACTCGACTGTAAAACTGCTTCCTGGCCCGTGCCGCCACACTGGTGGGACCCCTGGGGCTTTTTTTGTTTGTTTGTTTGTTCTGTTTTGATTTGTTTGTTTGTTTGTTTTCTTTTTCTTTTCTCTGCTTGGGAGACCCTTCTAGCCCTGGCTTGGAAGCTACTCCCTTACTCTGCGCAGACACACAGTGACATCCCTAGGGGCATTTCTTTCTTCTTGTTTTTTTTTCTTTGGTTTTATTGTTTTGTTTTTTTTGGGGGGGGGTTGTTTCTTTGTTTTGTTTTCCTCTCTCTCTTTTTCCATTTTTTTCTTTCTTTATTTCTTAGTTTCTCGTGTCTCTGTACTTACCTTCGCTTCCTGTCTCCTGAATATATGGTGCTGTGTAATGCCTCTACCTCTTCTAGCCAGGCTGTGCTTCATGGCCTGGGAGCAACTTCCCCAGTCCTAGCAGCTGCACTGGGGGATCCATGGGGGCTTTTCTTTTCTTTCCTTTTTTTTTTCTCTCTAATTTTTATTTATTCATTTTTTCCTTTTACCCTTTTTCTTTTTTCCCTTTTGTTTTTCTCCATTTCACAGTCTCTCATCTCTCCATTCCAACTGCAAGCTCCCTTAACACTCTTTTTTGTTTCTTTGTTTCTGTGTATGTTTTTGGCTCCTGTTCCCCTCTCCTCTCTCTCCTCTTTCCCATACCCATCTTAGCTCCACACATCATAATCTCCCCCCTCCTTCCTGCCTACCTGCACCATGCGCTGAACATCACACCCCCAAGCAGCACAGGCACCACCTACCAGAACCTGCCTCACACTGATTCCCAGCGAGCCCTGAAAGCCCCAGTACTTTCCACAAACAATCCATCCCAGCAACTCCTCTTCAGTTGGACTTGCCCTGCTGTACCATAACTGAGTGACTGACCTTGTCCATTGGAAAATGAGGTGAAAAAGCATCCTCCACAGATGAGCAAACAACAAAGAATGCACAGCCCACCTGCTCAGACTTAACCAAATAAAACAAAAAAAGCAGGACGAAACAAAAAAAATCTACAATCAATAAATGAGGAAAATAACTACTAAATTCCCCAAAGACAGCAGACAATATCAAAACATATACAAAAACAGGGCAGGATGGTTTCAGTAGGCATCCAGAATAAAGCATCAGATGACTTTCCAGCAGAAGAAAAGGCAATAGAACTACCTGATAGGGAATTAGAACCTCTAATATTCAGAATTATCTAAGAGTTGAAGCAAAAAGCAGACAAAAATGAGGAAAAAATAGACAAATTCATGGCAAAGGCAGACAAATTCATGGAAAATACGGACAAAAAAATGGAAGAATTCAAGAAAATAATACAGGAACAAAATGCCAAAATAAATTCACAACTAGAAATCATACAAAAACAACAAGTAGAAATTCAAAAGATAAACAACAAGATTTCAGAAATGGACAGCGTCACAGAAGGGCTGAGGAGCAGCTTTCAAATGATGGAAGACAGGATCAGCGAAATTGAAGACAAACACTTGGCTACAGCTCTGAGGAAAAATCAGAAAAAATAAAGCGAAAAATGAAGAAACTATGAGAATTATGTGGGATACAATCAAAATCTGCAAGAGATTGGAGTTCCAGAACAGGGGGAGA